CTGGTTCAACTATGGGCTGCACTGGCGAGAAAAATGTTATCTATCAAATACCCAAGCTTGGACCCTCCCATGACGGCGCTTTTAAAATCCTTAGGCGACAAATGCTAGCAAAATCCTACGCGCCGTATGCGATGTGCTTGGTCTGAAAAGCTGTGTGAGTGTTGAAGGCAATCATTTCGAAGGCCGTTGTCAGGATTTGGATTGTCACCTTTTCTACTAATAATATTCATGGTCAGAACTGATTATTGAAAGTAGTCCCGGAAGCGAAGGAAAATTGGTGCACCAGTAATCTTGTCTCACCCTATGAAAGCGTTTCACATTCCAATGATTACCCTTAATAATTTTGGACCTTCCACAAATAATCTATACGTTCTACTTTAACTATAATATAAATTCAAAGTGCTTGAGTGTGTGCCGAGACCTTGTTGTGACGACCGTTCGAAACTGCTATCGCTGAACCTGTCGAATGGCTGACGTTTTCATTGAAAGTTCTTCAACGGTGCCTCCGGCTTGTATAACTAATATACTGATGCGAAGAAACGCCAGCTTCCTTTTTCTAGGATCCTCAGCTGGTTCAAGCGGCGGTTGATCTTTGTCCCAAGGACGTGTGGCTACTGCTGTCTCACACCCGCCTTTTCATGCAATGACAAGCTGCGTGAGTTGCATCTGTCCCAGCTGACTATGAAATACTACGTTTTTGTGCTGGTTTTTTCGTGCTATCAACCATTTCCAGGCATACTGAACCTTAACACAAGAACTTTTAGAGCCAAGGATACCATGCTCGTCAGTTACGAAGATAATGTGCGAAAATAATGCCTGGAAGAGTATTCTTGAAGAGGATTGCCCGAAAACCTGCGGTTTTTGTGATTCAGGTTTGTCTCGGCTAAAGTAACAAACCTGTGCACTTATCTGAAACTCGGTCCCACAACGGTCACGGTAAGGCTTAAAAGCCACTGCAGTCGACCTCCAGCCGATTTTAATAGAAAATATAACTCATAATCTAGTCTCAGCGGACGCAGCGGCGAAGGCTGCAATAGTGCTGGAAAGCATTCAGCCAAAAGGAAACGAGTCACGAAACTGAAAAATTGCCTTCCTTGACAGGGGTAGAACAAATATCCTTGGGAAATTTGTAGATCTGGGAGCATGGAACAATGGTGTTCTTTAAAAAAAACAAGTGCCAAAAAAAAACAAAAAAAAAATCAAGCACACACTGAATAATCCCTGTAGTTAAGTTTCCCGGTAAATCTTGGAGATAGCGGTGGGGCAAGAGGACTGTGCGTTACTTTTCTAAATTTTTATTTTGTAAAGCAGCAATGACAAGTTTGCGGTGTCTCCCTTGAAAAGTCTTCGCTCCATATCATAGTGGCCAGCGTTCATGCAAAACGTGGGTAAGTCAACGTTCAGTACAGTAAACCACAAAAACGTAGGTTTTGCCACGTCTTCTCACATGGGAGGCCTCTTGTGGCTGTTACCGGAACGAATAAGTTTCAGTTCTGCGCTACTGCTAGTCAGAATTTTGGAACGGAGTGACCATATTTGAGCTAAGTTAACACGTTGACAACAGGCTGACGCGCATGCGCGTCAGAACCATGTCACTCATTTCTTATGGTGCTTGCTCTCCTTCTCCTCGAATTTTTTTCTTTCCTTTTATACCTTTCTTTGGTATTCATTCTATAGATAATACATTAGCATAACTATAAACCACATGGCAGCAGAGTGGTCAAATATCCCTTGATTTAGCAAAGATTTTCTGAACGCACAAAACTTTCATTTCAATTCCTAGTATTCCTTTCACTGTCGTAAACATTTATGAAAGATTGTAGAAGCAGTTAATACAAAACTCTGTGAGTTTCAAGATATTTGTATTTGATGGAAAACTAAGGTAAAATGCTTTTACTTCATTCGTAGTGAAGCGAAGTTTTTTTGCTTCTTCGTGATCATTATGGCTTCTTCTAAACAAACTTCTACTGGTATTTGTATAGTAACCTGTATAACTTCCATCCTTGCCGGGATGATTGTGTGAGATTCAAATTTTTGGGCATCAAACAGAATAAGAGTAAGGAAGGTGAGGACGGCGCAACGCAAAATCTCTCCTGTCCCACGCTGCGAAAAATGCCAAAATACTTGATGTCGTCAACGTGTTAAGGTATAGTAGCTCAACATAACAAATAGTAGCAACTTTGAGATGGAAAGCCTGACCTCTTCTACATCAACCACTCTCTTAGCAGAAAGCGAACTCTTGGCTGGGTATTAGGCTCATGCTTGAGAATGCTCCAGAAATCAACTGCGTTTCTGCTGCATCCGCATTCGACTGAAATCGACATAAGTGCTTCAGTGTACGCTGTGGTCTTTCATAGGCAAAGAAAGGTACTATGCTTTGCCTTATAACGGTCTTACACGACACGGCTTATAAACACAAAATAATCAGGAGCAGCGTAAAATGAGAACCGACCTCCCTCCCTCGACCTCATGTAAATCAAAACCTGTGGAATTTGGGAGGGTCACAGCTACACATTTTGTTTAGTTTGAGGACGTTTAGAGTCAGAAACGCTCCCAAGATTCTCGCTTTCAAGAACGCGTCTGTGTGCCAGGATGGACACTCCTGTATCTCCGAGTGCTAGTCTCGTTATCCCCGTTGATTTAAAAGCAGTGAGTACCGAGTGACGTCTGGATTTTAGATCTTCGCAGGCCGTTCAAAGATCAGCACCACAATTTTGTTTGAAAGAGCGTGCGATAAATGAGGGTGAAGGTGCAGAGGGAACTGAAAGGAGAAAAAGCAGGAGAGACCTTAGCTAGCACTGAAACTGAGGGCCTATACATTCTTTGAGGTAGGGTGTAGCACGACGAAGCGAACAACGAAGAAAGGAAGGCGAACGTATAAAGGGTCGTTTGAGAGGGCACAGATAAGGTGTTGTCGCCTGCCTGCAAACAACTCTCGCCATGCACACTCTTCGCTCTTCTTTCACGCTATGTCAATGACGTCATATGACGCATCAATGGCGCTCAGACAGTTTTGCCTTCCCTACTCGAAGGTTAGAAGTGGTTTCTATTTCAAGGATTGCATTCGAGTGCTGTTTCCAGAGCGGTCACCAAGAGAACCACAAATTTTCCTTATGGATTTTCCTTTCCTGTTGCAATTGTTGGAAGAGTTTGAATTCATAAAACGGAACATATTTCCCCTCAGACAATCATTACCCTGTCGGCAAGACAGTGGGACGCTCAAAGCGGTTCAAAAACGCAGCTTGTCAACATGCTCCGCAAAGCGCTATTGACCATACATGTTTGAGTTGCCTCACTCCCTTCTCTCGAAATGTAACAGTAGGAGGAAGGTTACTTCGATGAATGATCTTCTGTCGAAATCTCCGCATCGTCTGTAATACTCACCGCCTTTTGGTGCTGGTGTTGGTTATCCATTTATTCCGCAGTGGTTCCAGCTATATCGAACAATTTACAGTGTGTGTTAACGGAGGCCCTGCTCACTGTTCTGGTCATATTGTTAGTAATATTTCTGGCTTCAAAACATGTTCAATTCATGTATCACCCATGAATTGACAGAAAGTGAGGCAGTCTACGGGTTGCAGGAAAGCTTTGTGCAATGCTAAGTAAGGCAACATTGTAACGTCAACAATCCTCAACGCGACAGTCGCACTATCGGGGAAATTGTATACATTGCCATAATCAATGCAAACATGTTCGCTCGTTCACTGCAATCGCAGTGAACGGCGAACATGTTCAGTTGCCTAAGGTCGATTTGAAACCTCAACTTTACGTGGGTGCCGCGGGGGAGCCCTATCAAGCAAGGGCCTCTGCTACACCTCAGCTGCGCCTTCTTCCGTCAGAGGGAAAGGAGTAATCTCTTGAAGCAAATCTTTTACAAACTCTATTCCACAACAGGTCCCAAAAACCGGTTTTCATCGTTCTTATCGAATCGCTCTCAGAAAATCCTATAAAACTGATAGATTTCATTTCGGAAAGGGTGAAAAATACATTTCTTCGCGTTGAAGAATCTTTTTTGTTGACATACTCCGATGATGTCACCATATGGCAGCTCATCAGTATGCTGTCAGCGTGCCAACGCCGTGGCTCATGAAAACGGTTTCCTATGGCACATAGGTTCTTTCTGTTCAAGAATTCGCTACAACGTACAGATTTGTTTCGTATCCGCTATGTGGAACGCCAATTTCACGCTGCTAGGCCAACCCGTGGAGGTTCATTTCGTTGAACACATTGTTCCACTTACACTCCACCCTTCAAAAACCTTGGTTTCTTCAAAAAGTAGTATAGTGCTTTTATAAACTTTCATTATTCTGACCGCTATAACGTAGCTTTTTACATGAGCATTTTTTTCCTTCCAAACACCATATCTGAAGAAATTATTTTTCTCTTCCCCAGTGTGATTTTGGTAGAATTCCAGGCTTACGTAGTAGAGTCCAGTCTGTGAAAATGGCGAATTATTTCCGAAAAATTTTCTCACTAACTCGCTGAAAATCAATCCGTGATTTGCCCGGTATTCTAAACACTCCGCAAGGTTTTCCATGTCCAGGCGATAAAAACTTTCGAGTCTGGATTCCAAAGAGATGGCGGTCTACCATCGAGATCTGGCTGAATGGCCAAATATCACAGAAGAATTTATGCAGCTTGTTGGAAAGAACGTGCTAGGGTTCGATAATGGGATTCAGGGACAAGATCGTGAATAAGTATGCGGTACATTACAGACCTGCTCATAAAGTGACCCATGTGGAATTTTGAAAATCTTCGTCACTCATCGGTCGCAGAAGGCCAAAAATAGGAATTTTCATACTGCACCGACAAATTTTTCAAGTTTCGATCGCTACTGTATTCATACGGAACCCGGGTGATTTTCGATCCTATTCACAGAAGCGAAAAAGAAAAAGGAGGAAGAAGTGGTCAGTAATGTGAACAGACGGCAATATTCCATATTTATTTTAACTGGTACTAGCAGATATTTTGGCATGAAATATAGGCCGTCGTCTGTGGCTCTAGGTTCCAGCCATTTTAGCATAGTCCACAAGCGCGTCCGCAGTATTGCATTTTGTATGCTTGCGAATAGAACGTGCTATTGCAGAATCCGTTTCGTACCCAACTAGCGCAACTGAAAACAAAAAAATATTAGGCCATATAGGCCAAAGGTTCAACAATGAGAAGAAAAGTAGGTGGAATGTGGATGAGATCTGCGGAGAGCTATCCTACTATATAGAATCCGCTAAGCTACTGTGCGTGTGTGTGTGTGTTTGTCTGTCTGACCGGAAATTCATAACTTCGTTCCCTTTGGACCCAGAGCGCTCAAACTTCTAGGATATATAGGGGACTGGACGTGAACACTGATGATGGGTGGCGGGAAGTGATAAGTACTGATAGAAGCTGGTTTATTGCATAGTTGCGAACGCGAGATCTCAGCCGGCCTACCACGAAGGATGAGTTGTGGTGATTTTGACAAGGCTGAGTTGACGGGCTACGCTTCTTATCCGCTCAAAGTCGCAATGGAAGACCTGGTATGCCTGGCGCATGTTCTGACCTGTTCATTTGTCCGCCCGTTCCACCGCCCGAAAAGCACTCACCTGGCACAAAGTGATGCATGGATGTGTAAGTGAAAATTCAGAAGAAATATTGGATAAAAAAGGTGGAAGGTAAGCACCATGATCCAACATGCCTCAATCAGGAAAATACATTGAGATTCTCCGTCGAATCATGAGGTGTATGTTGGATGAAACTATGCGAAATTCCACAACAATTATTGAAATTCCTATTTCTTCACGGTTCTAATCAACTCAAAAATGAGTAAAACGCAATATGCTCTGCTGCTGCTGTGTAGACAAAATTGGTGGAGCGTTTCTGTATTCCTGCAGAAATATCGACTAGAAATAAAAAAACTCTACTTCTGCTCGTTATGGTACAGCGAACACATTTCTAGAAACAAATTTGTGTTCATTATGAAGATGTGATGGGGTTTATTCGATGACCTAATTGGTCTTCCGTCAACCGTCGGGACCTTTCTTCCCTGCATTAACTTTACGGCTTCCGCTATGGTCCCTTGCACCTGTTACACAAACATCTCGCAGAGGTTCGCATGCTACAAAAAGGTGTTTCGTATATGTGGTAGAGGGCATCGCCATGATCATAACATGACGCTAGATTTTCCGCCTCCCCTCCTCATCCTCCCTTCCTCTCTCCCCCCCTCAACTATCCTAAAGCTGCCACTGCAGCACCATGTGGAATGACCGGAAGTGTGCTCATTAGGTGTTTATGTAGCCGTAAGAGTGTTATCACAACTATCCTGCTAAAACATTGATAGCTCAATCCTGTAAGCTACCCGATTTGTTAGCGGTTTGTTTATTCCATTAGCTGCCTTATCACTCACTTCATTTTGCGGACGGACATACATACATACAAACCGTCATACTAATTTAGCGCTTTATAAACTAGAAAGATTTGCTTCCTACATGATAGCGTATTTTCAAGAAGGCTTTCAACAGTGAGTCGCTGCTCAGTCTAGTTTAATTATGAGTGGTATAAGATCGTTAAAAACAGCGACAGTTTCCCAGGATAGCAGAGCTTCTGCCCTGGGTTTGTTTTTTTATTTCCACTCACATGCCTTCATGATTACTATTGCATTTATTCCCAACTAGCATAAAATGTATTCCTATCTAGTAGGTGTTGTCGACCATACATTACTCCAAGTAGCGGAACTTGGAAGGACGTGTAAATGTGTTGAGCCATTAACTAGTTCCTGAGCTGAAGATTTGGAGCCACGTCAGTAGAACACAACTCATCTCTGGATTAGTTGTTAGCGATGAAACCAAGCCATACTGCTATGAGCGTTAGAACTTTTTCATTACACAATAGGTGGTGTTCAAAAGCTTACAAAAGGAAATAAGATACAAAAAATAATAAAAAACCCACTTTGGGTTCGATCCGCAACCAGTTCCTGAAAAAGTTTTCAGAAGTACAAACACAACTCGACGTAAAATTTTTTAGCCTGCTTCGCCTGTAACTGGAAGATGCGAGCGAAATAATAAGCATGCGAAAGACAGCTTATCTTTTAGTAACCGCTGTTCTGACATGGAAATATTGCAAAACCGTAATGCGCCAGCAACCAGTGGTGTTTAACTGTTATTCGTGGAAATTCTAAGAGGAAAGGAAACCCACACTAATGATATTAATCCGATAGGTAAATATAAGTCAAATCAGGGCGATATATTTAATTTTATAATGATAACCAAGTTCTAAGAAAATGATTAAGCTCATGCTGAACTAAAATTAGGTGGAATCGAAAATGAGAGGTTTCTTTATACGCAACTGAACATGGTTACGAATCACGTAACACTATTAAAGTCATTTGCAAATTAGTGAAAAACAGGTCATCAATCGAGCAAAAGCATTTACCCGGTGCCACCATTGAGTCCGAGCAGTATCCGCAAGTCTTTCTGCAGTATCGCTTAAAATATACAGTGCAATTTATTCCATTTTTTAGTTTCGACCCCTATCAATGATTGAATGTACGATGTATTATTGTAAAGAAGGGCTTCACCTACCCGTGCGAATGAGTCCAGGTTTTTACTCTGGGCAAATAACGCCGCCACTCAAATTGCGCAGGCTGCTTCATCGAGCCGCATTACCGGAATGTTTGGATAATGTTTGTTGTAATAATTTCGCATAGTTTCATCCAACATACACCTCATGATTCGACGGAGAATCTCAATGTATTTTCCTGATTGAGGCATGTTGGATCATGGCGCTTACCTTCCACCTTTTTTATCCAATATTTCTTCTGAATTTTCACTTACACATCCATGCATCACTTTGTGGCAGGTGAGTGCTTTTCGGGCGGTGGAACGGGCGGACAAATGAACAGGTCAGAACATGCGCCAGGCATACCAGGTCCTTCCATTGCGACTCTGAGCGGATAAGAGGGTAGCCCGTCAACTCAGCCTTGTCAAAATCACCACAACTCATTCTTCGTAGTCAGCCGGCTGAGATCTCGCGTTCGCAACTATGCAATAAACCAGCTTCTATCAGTACTTATCACTTCCCGCCACCCATCATCAGTGTTCACGTCCAGTCCCCTATATATCCTAGAAGTTTGAGCGCTCTGGGACCAAAGGGAACGAAGTTATGAATTTCCGGTCAGACAGACAAACACACACACACACACGCACCGCTTAGCGGATTCTATATAGTAGGATAGCTCTCCGCAGATCTCATCCACATTCCACCTACTTTTCTTCTCATTGTTGAACCTTTGGCCTATATGGCCTTATATTATATTTTGTGTTTTCAGTTGCGCTAGTTGGGTACGAAACGGATTCTGCAATAGCACGTTCTATTCGCAAGCATACAAAATGCAGTACTGCGGACGCGCTTGTGGACTATGCTGAAATGGCTGGAACCTAGAGCCACAGATGACGGCCTATAATTTCATGCCAAAATATCTGCTAGTAACAGTTAAAATAAATATGGAATATTGCCGTCTGTTCACATTACTGACCACTTCTTCCTCCTTTTTCTTTTTCGCTTCTGTGAATAGGATCGAAAATCACCCGGGTTCCGTATGAATACAGTAGCGATCGAAACTTGAAAAATTTGTCGGTGCAGTATGAAAATTCCTATTTTCGGCCTTCTGCGACCGATGAGTGACGAAGATTTTCAAAATTCCACATGGGACACTTTATGAGCAGGTCTGTAATGTACCGCATACTTATTCACGATCTCGCCCTGAATCCCATTATCGAGCCCTAGCACGTTCTTTCCAACAAGCTGCATAATTCTTCTGTGATATTTGGCCATTCAGCCAGATCTCGATGGTTGACCGCCATCTCTTTAAATCCAGACTCGAAAGTTTTTATCGCCTGGACATGGAAAACCTTGCGGAGTGTTTAGAATACCGGGCAAATCACGGATTGATTTTCAGCGAGTTAGTGAGAAAATTTTTCGGAAATAATTCGCCATTTTCACAGACTGGACTCTACTACGTAAGCCTGGAATTCTACCAAAATCACACTGGAGAAGAGAAAAATAATTTCTTCAAATATGGTGTTTGGAAGGAAAAAAATCCTCATGTAAAAAGCTACCGCGTTATAGCGGTCAGAATAATGAAAGTTTATAAAAGCACGATACTACTTTTTGAAGAAACCAAGGTTTTTGAAGGGTGGAGTGTAAGTGGAACAATGTGTTCAACGGAGATTATAAAGAACCTGCGCGTCCTAATTACCCCTTTTCAAAACTCAATGGGGGGTTATGAGAACTCCCCCATTTGTAGTATACCTGATTCTCTTGATGCGACACAGTGACAGAGTCATGACTATTCAATCCTTCTTTTATAAGAAGCTTGGAGAAAAAACATTAGGATGATGAAGTGGTGGCAACATCCATCCGAAAGTCATATATGCACGCCAACGTACTTTGCTTTGCTTATCTTTTTGTAATATTTGCAATAAACTTTGGCTTGCATTCTATCTTGGCAGCCCGGTGATGGAGCCCATGTGTTTGCTAATGCTAATGATCAACGTCCACAGATTTGTTCGTGTCCGCTATGTGGAACGCCAATTTCACGCTACTAGGCCAACCCGTGGAGGTCATTTCGTTAAATACATAGTTCCACTTACACTCCACCCTTCAAAAACCTTGGTTTCTTCAAAAAGTAGTATCGTGCTTTTATAAACTTTCATTATTCTGACCGCTATAACGCGGTAGCTTTCGACATGAG